AGATAGATAGATAGATAGATAGATAGATAGATAGATAGATAGATAGATAGATAGATAGATAGATGAGAGACAGAAAGAGAGAGAGAGAGAGAGAGAGAGAGAGAGAGAGAGAGAGAGAGAGAGAACAGGAGGATGTGGGCATATAGCCATGTAGTTTCAAATGTATGTGACCTGTGACAGATTTAACCTCTATGCCAGCCTTCTCGTGTTTAAACTAGAGGTTCAGAGAACTAAACGACACTATCCAGGTAAAGTGGCCATGTAGCAAATGCTTAGTAAATAGAAACCATAGTTACAAAAATGCTCTGTTATAGAATAATCTATCATTCCATGTGTTGTGAGGACTGTGTAGAACTGGCTTGTTTCCTTTTTAAGCTACTTGCTCCTCCTACTAAATCCTTACTCTGTGCTTCATGTCCTGTGAAGCAGACTCTTTGAGCTTCTGTGGTGATGACTGACTGATGGTTAACTCATGGTTCTGATGGTAAAAGTCAAATCTACTTCATCTCTTTAAACACCTGCAGGTTTTCTGGTTCTCATTTAGTATTTGTCTGTTGCCTTGGTGGCTGTTTTTGATATACGGTCTTCTGTAACCTAAGTTGGCCTGAACTTGTTGTGTAGCCAAAGCTAGCCTTGAATTCCTGATCCTCCTGCCTGCACCTTCCAATTGCTGGGATTACAGGTGTGTACCACCATGCTTGGCTTTTTCTAGGCAATACATGGACAACCAAGGTTCTTATATCCCCAGTGAACATGTACTGAGAAGAGTGTATGCCACATATGTTCTGTGCCCACAAAGGCCAGAAGAGGGCGATAGAGAGCCGGAGTTACAGATGGATGTAAACGAATTTGGATGCTCTGGAAGAGCAGGAAGTACTCTTGACTACTGAGCATCTCCCCAGTTCCTTCTTCTTTATCCATATGATTAAAAGAACACTTTGGGGCTGGCAGATTGCAGTCATTTATCTTCTAGATGTCATAAGTTTGCCTCTATTCCCTAACCCTTAGAATGGGGACCTGTCAGGCGATGACATCACTCTCCTTCGAGCTGGTCAGCTGTTTAGTTACAGAAAAGATGCCACAGAAACCCCTCTGTGTACTTCATTTAGGCTATAACTTAATCAGCCTTTGTGAAGCATATTATGTCTGGGGCTTGGTCTGAGGCCATACTTATAATGAAAACATCCCTTAGGGATGGAGAGATTGCCCAGTGATGAAGAGCACTTGCTGCTCTTGCAGAGGACCTGGGTTCCTGGGTTTGTTTCTCAGTACCTACGTGGTAGCTTAAAATCATCTGAACTCCAGTTCCCCGGAGTGAATGAATATGTGTGTGTGTGTATGTATGTGTGTATGTCTTTTACAGGCACAAGGCATGTACATGGTATACACACAACAAACACTCATACACATAAAGTGAATAACTCTTTTTAAAAACTTCAAAACAAAACAGAAATAAAGAATCTCTCGCTTTTTTACCTCCCAGTAAACCTCCAAAAGGGGTGTTATTAAAGACTGATATTTCTCTCCTCTCTCTCTCTCTCAGATTTATTTGCATTTTTTATTTATCTGTGTGTGTGTCTATGTGAGTGTATGGCACATGTCTCTGTACCTGCAAAGGCCAGAAGAGGGCGACAGAGAACGGGAGTTACCGGTGGATATAAGCAACCCCAACATAGGTGCTGGGAAATGAATTTGGATGCTCTGGAAGGAATTACTCTTGACTAGTGAGCATCTCCCCAGCTCCTTCTTCTTTATCCATATGATTAAAAGAACACTTTTGGGCTGGCAGATAGCAGGTAAAGGTGCTTGCCACGTGCCCAACAGACTGAGTCTGATCCCTAGAATGTGTACGATCCCCAGGAGATGTATGATGAAGCAGTGAACCCCTGCATGTTCCCCCCTGATCTTCACAACGGTGCCATGGCAACGGCCCCCACAAACACACACACACACACACACACACACACACACACACACACAGATAAAGAAATGTAATAATATTTTTGAAAGAAAACTTTTTCCCCCATTTCTGTCATTTCTTAACCTTTGGCTAAGCTCAAGTGTATTATTTAAGTCCTCCAACAGGGACATATCTGCCTCCTATCCATCCTCAGCTCAGGAGGAGGATTCTTTCTTATTTTCTCAGCCTATTCCTCAAAAAGTTTATTAGTTGTCTGAAGCAAAAACCAGTGTAGAAGCAACTATAGAAACAACGGTCTCTTCTCCACACTAGACTCTTCCTTTTTTGTTGCTTTTTGCTCATTCATACGTGCATTCATTCATTCATGCATCCATTCATTCATTCACTCATTTACCTAACAGACATTAAAAATCTACTATGTGGCACACTAGGGGACTAATAAAAAAAACACAACTGCTACCATCAGAGAGCCCCCACCTGATAGGAAAAACAAAGATGTAAACATACAACAGGAAGGTAGTGGCTGTCCAGGGGATGGTAAAAATGGCCAGCAAGGCACACACCAAGATGCACACTCTGTTGGCCATGTTGTCAGAGTTTTAAGGGAAAATTCACAACAATGAAAAACACTTTACATGGGGCCTCACCTAGATTACAGAAGCTGCAAAGGGCATTATATATGGTCTGGTACAATAGTTTAAACTTGGATGTTTGCAAGAAAATACTGAGAGTGAAGGCAGGCTTCTGATTTTTGATTTTGAGACAGGACCTCTCTGTTATGTACCTCTGGCTGTCCTGGAGCTTGCTATGTAGACCTAGCAGATTGGCTTCAAGTCACAGAACTCTATCTGCCTCTGATTCCAGAGTGCTAAGATTAAAGTTGGGTGTTACCACACCTTCTTCAGGCTTGTTTCAGAAGAGCCTTGCAAACCATGTTAAGAACTTTGGGCCTCTCATGCCTCACTGGACAATGACAGGGGGACTGGAGCCATTACAAGGTCCCCTTCAAGTACTGGAGGTCAGGTCTCTATCCCCGCCTTCGCAAGATTAGAATTGCCACAACCCTTCTGTACTTAGAGAAGGGAGGAGATGTCAGGGTAGCCCTGCTTACACACTGAAGGCCTAAAATCAGCCATAGGCCTAAAATCAGCAATAGGCCTGTCATACATGTATACTAACACCAAGTCTTGGGTCTCAGTGGAAAAACATTGAAACAGATGGCTATAAGCTAATGTAAACAGGCAGCTTTTGTGGAAATTTACCAGCCTGAGTAGTCATAGACCTTGTAAATAGGTAGCCTTGGCAGACAATACCAACTTAGATAAGGACAAGTGAGTCATAGGCAGAGTCATAGTGACTTGTCCCCTGAACCTTCACCCAGCCGATACCTGGTTCTGAAAGATATCTGTATTCCCCCTGAACACCCACACTCCAGTGTCATTCCCTTCCCCACATCCTGCCTTTCTGTGTTTATAACCCCTGTGTGAATGAATTACGATTTGAGAAAAAATAAATTATTAAAAAAAAACTTTGGGCCTGTAGCATCTTGGGGGTGGGGAAGCTGTCTGCTGCTAAGCCTCACTACCTTAGTTGAAGCACTGGATTCACACGGTGACTGGATAAAGCCAGCACTTGCAAGTTGTCTTCTGACCTCCACAAGTGTGCCCACCCTTAGCACATACTCACGCCTCAGTAAATGAATTAATGTAAAACAATTCTAAAAGAACTTCGGGGTTTATTCCGTAGGTTTCATGAGTATTTGGGAGGGCTTACTTGGTTTACAGGGAGGAGAAAGGAGCGATGAGATGAGAAGGCCAGACCAGTTGGCTGCAACTAACACCGGTCAAACAAGAATTACTAAGAACTGAATCTTAAGGACGGTAATAAGGAAGGTAGTTTTTTTGTTTTGTTTTGTTTTGTTTGTTTGCTTTTGGAGAGGGGAAGGATACAGTAAAAACCCCCCCCCTTGCTTCTCTCTAAGAGCTGCGTTAAGTGATCAGCTTGATCTATTCTTGGTGGGCCATACATCACACATTGGTGCTGAAGTCTGCTTAGCGCTACAAGCGCATGAGGTTTCCAAACTGTTCTCTTTAAAAGATCTTGGGGCTTGGGTTTTCGTCGGGGAGGAGATGAAGCACTCACAGGTCATGGCTATGACTAAGAATCATTGACCGGTGAAAGAGATTGGTGACGTCGAGGCTTGTAGAGGTCCGCGCGAGGGCCCGGCGCGGGGGCGGAATTTGGGGTTGGAACTCCACGCAGAAAGGCTGGGGACTTAGGGCCTGGAAGTCGCCTTTGCGGAGGCTGCGAGCGTCCCTCTCGGATTGAGGTAGGTAAGTACAGGGGGCGGGCTCCGGATGAAGGGCGGAACTTGAGCGCCAGCCAGGGTGGCCGCAGAAGACTGCGGGCTTTTTGCCTCTGCAGGGGCGGAGTTAGGCAGGGCCGGAGGCGGGGTTTTAAGGCCAGCCTTCAGGTGCACATCTCCGATTGAGCGGGGTGGGACCTGGGGCGGGGCTTGGGGCGGGACCCAGTCTGCTTTTTGACAGCTGTCTTTCCGCACAGCTGTAGCCGACTGGGTTTAGGAACTTGTGGCCCGGCTCTCTGCGCGTCCCCGTCCCCCCGTGGCCCTAGCCCCGGCCATGAAGCGCATCTTCTCCTGCTCCAGTTCACAAGTGGCGGTAGGTGCCAAATGTGTAGGAGAAGGGCTGGGGCTGGGATTCAAGCCCTGTGTTGACAGAAGTCCTGAGTTTCATCTCCATGGACGAGCGCATTAACCCTGCATCAGTCTTTCCTGCGCTGCTGTTCTAATAATGCGGCCGCCAGCCCTGCTAACTGAATTTATGCATGTTATTCAAAACCTGTCCCTTAATCTTTTCCTTCCCAAGGTCCTTCCCTTTGAGTCCTTCTCTCCCAACATATTTGGCCTCCAACTTCTGGTTTGCTTTCTACAGATCTGTTCTCTTCGAATGACCCTGGTTTCTACTTGAGCTCTGGCTCCCAGTACCAACCCACCTCCAGACATCTGCCCCACCCCCACCCCAGCCTTTGAATCTGTTCTTACTTCCACCCCTAATTCCTGCCCTATAGCTTCATTTCCATCTTTGCCTTCTCCTCACAACTTTCTCTCCCACATAGCTCCATTTTTTACTGTCTGCTGTCCTAACAGTATTTTCTGCCCCCAAAATACTCTCAACCCAGTGCCTTCTCCCAGCCCTTCTTCAGAGCCTCCTTCACCGAACTTGCCTCTCTCTTCCACTCCATGACACTTCCTCTCCCATTCTCTCAAGCACCAACCCAAATTTCTTCCCAAGCGGCTGTCCAACATGGAGTCTCTGTTTTCTCTTTAATTTCTGGTCACCTTTCCCTCGATATTACTTCCTTTACCTTTTGCCTGGACCTCCTGCCGGCTCTCAGTGGCTTAATCTTGCAATCTAGCTAGCCAGACAAACACTGTCAGGGGACAGGCAAGTCTCCTGGCTGATCCCCAGAGCCTGGGTAAGTTGCCTGCAGAATCTACCCTGGCCAGTTCTCTGCACTGTCTGGTCTTCAGACTGGTTCTTGGGACCAATCAAGTTCTGCCTGGTTCTCTCCCCGATTATTCCTTTGTGTCATCTAGGATTTATATTCATTTTCTTTGGTTGAGTTAGGGAAATGAGATGGTGAGGGGAAAGACAGAGTGGATCACAGTGAGAGAATTCCTGGGAAGGGTTACCCTGTTCTCTGTTCTCTCCCCCTCTAGAGCAAAACACAGATTTCAGAAGGTGGTGGTTCAAGGAGGGCACAGCTTTCCTTCTCTAAAGAGCTCTTCCAGAGTGGCCCTCTGTAGAGGGATGGTATCTTCTGTGGAGGTGGAGGGTATGAGTCCCTTGGTACTAATGTTGCTTAGTTGACTCGTCATTCATTCATAAGCAGATGTGAGAAATGTTTGGTTATCCCACTGTGCATGGCAGGCCACAGAAACCTGGCAGAAAGCTATGAAGCAAGAGTAAGAACTGCCGAGGCCTGTCTCTGTCTCATTTACATTTGCTTCTACATTGGAGTTTCTATGCACTGACCAAACAGTCAAAAGGCACTTACTATTACAGGTAACAGAAACCAAGGCTACCTGGGTTTGTGACACTGCCTTAACTCTCAGTGATTTTCTAATCCGTGACTACTTTCCCCTAGATATGGAAAGTTCCCAGACTCGTTCCTCCCTTTTAGATTTATGGAGTCTGCTTTCTCCTTAAAAGGGGGACTATTTCATTCTTTGTTGTTGTTTGGGTTTTTTGTTTGTTTGGTTTTTGTGTTTGTTTGTTTGTTGTTTGTTTTTTTCCAGACAGGGTTTCTCTGTGTAGTCCTGGCTGTCCTGGAACTCCTTCTGTAGACCAGGCTGGCCTCTCACTCAGAGATCTGCCTGCCTCTGTTTCCCAAGTGCTGGGATTACAGTTGTGAGCCACCATACCTGGCTCAGTTCATTCTTTTTTTGATTCTTCCATCCAGGTACTAAGCAGGCCCAACCCTGCTTAGATTCTGAAATCAAACAAGTTCAGGGTGATATGGCCCTAGGCCTTTTCTGGTTCTCTAGTCCTTGGGCAGTGCCTCCTTTCCTAGATGCTGGAACAAGCAGTTGGCTAGATCTTGGGATCTAGAACCTTTCCTCTATCCTTCATGGCCCGAGTTCTCTACATGTTTGACCATGAGGAATGTCCACTCATCTGAACTCCTAGTATTGCAAGATCATAGTTTATCAAGAGTGGAGGGCATAAAAGGCACACTTGGAACTACATGCTTAGAATGAGAACGTCTTTTCTCAAATCAAAGTTTCCAAAGACTTTGAAATAGGTTGGTTTCAGCTCCGAGTTGTTCCTTAAGAAATTCCATTATAAAAAAGCCCAAGATAATGCCCTCTGCCTACCACACAAAGCTAATTGCAGATAGTGTGGCAGTTTTCCTGAAAACCCCAGAAGCCCAGCTTCCCAGTTATCTCAGCTGATCATCTCTCGCTATTCTCATTCAAGTCTTTGTGGGAGGACCCTTCATCTGAGGCAAAGATGGAGTCATCATTTCACACTTAGTCTGCATTGGGCTGGGGATGTCGGCCAGTTGAGAGAGTGCTTGCCTAGCATGCATGAAGCCCTGGGTTCAAGCCTCAGCTCCACATAAAGTGGGCATGCTAGGTAGCACATGCATGTAATCCCAGTACTCAGGCAAAAGGATCTGAGCTTCAGGGTCATCTTCTGTTACAGATGGAATTTGGGGCCAGTCTGATACCTGAGACCTGCTTCGAAAACAACAACAAAAAAGTAATAAATCAGCGAAATCTAATGTACAGCACTTAGTGTGTCTAAGAAGATCACAAAAACTCAGGCCCTCTAATCTTGGGTTATTTGCCTCAAAGTCGATGATGCCTTCAAGGGTGGCAGAGAGCTATGCCTATTCTGCCTGGGCAGGACATAGACCAAGAGGCAGGCCGGTAAATAGCTTTCAACCTTAGACTCCAGCTCAGCATAGAGGAATTGCTTTTGCATTTAAAGTGTTAATCTCCAGGCCCTCATCCCTCCGAGGCAGGCATTCCAGTTCCATCCAGCTGTTCTTCACTTGATCCTCCATTGCCTGCTGGTGTCTTTGTCTTTCCATCTTGACAGCAAGCCTGAGAGTTCACAGTCAGAGATAGGAGGGGGCAAAATTACCTTCAACAGGTTCCTTATCTCATCTGTTGAAATGACTCAACTTGTTCTTGTTAGGGACTCTGGTGATTAATTCGGTGACTGCTCCCTTGAGGCTGTGATGGTAATCTGCCATCTCCTTTCCAGGGTGCTAAGGCAGGCAATGAGCTGAGTCCTGGACTCTGGAAGAAGTCCTTCTGTCCTCTACTTTCCAGTGGTTTAACATGAAGAATTACTACCTTTTCTAACGTCTCCTTCGTATAATGAGACTATAGAAAGTAAACCAGGTGTATATATATCCACAGTGCTAAAACACAATTTACCACCCACCCAGCTCGGCTAACTCATTAGCTGGTATAACCAAGATCCTTCCAACTCATCCAGCTGGAGAATTTTAAGCCCAGGAACATCCAAAGTGTGCCCAGAAAAGCCAAGAAGGACGAGGATAGAAACTTCCAATTATTGTGTGTCTTCTATGTGACAGACGCAAAACTATATGCTTTGTCTGAATTGAGGTTCAAGGATGTCTGGATATGCCTGACAGAGAGACAAAGCATTATTACTATGAAGATTTTAGAGCAGGGCATGGTGAGACACACTTAAGACTCCAGGACTCTGGAGGACGGAGAGTGCCCAGCTAGTCAAGGATGCATTTGGAGAACAAGAACACCATAGGGAGAGGGAAGACTGTTTAAGTTTGTGAACGAGAACCTGAGGTTAAGGTCAGCTGGTGGTCGCAGTGTGTGGTAGAGGCCTGATCCAGCTGTTTTCCATCAGATGACCTGGTTCCCAAGGGGCACTGAAAAAAGCCTGCTCTTGCGTGTCAGAACCTGTCAGCTTGTGGAGGAGTTGGTTCGCTTGCTTTGTCATTGAGAATAAACCTGTTTGGAGACTCTTCCACACACAGGGAGTAACAGCCGAGAGTGAGTAGCTCTGCCCTGGAGGCATTCTCAAACTTTATCTGGAAATAAGTAATCCTTTTCCCATGGCTCTGCAAGAGTGTGGTCCGACACAAGAATTAGGCCTGGATGCGAGAAGCCTGAGCTGTTTCTAAAGCCAATGCTCTTATATTACTTTTTTATGCGATCCTGGACAGATGTTTAACATATGTGTGCTTCCATTTTTTTTTATGAAAGACACATGATAATCTCTATCATCCCTGACTATTTTGGGGGGCTATTAAAGGCTAATTGGAAGGACCAGGAGAAGTTACAAGTGTTTTTACAGGAGTGTTACCTCAGAATCCATCTATCCTAGACAATTTTATGGCTTGGATCTTTAAATCTTTCCTGTGTTGGTGATTAACAATTTGTCCTGGCTATATAAACAGTACTTGAGAATGAATTATGGGGCTTCCACAGCCTTTTTTTTTTTTCACCCTTTCCTATAACCTCTTTCTTGTAGAGATTCTACCTCATAAAACACGTTAGGCCACCCCCGACTTCTCACTGCTTCCTGTTTTGTTGTAAGGATGCCATCCATTTATGTGGTCTATCTACCTTAGCTTGTTTAATACATTGTGGTGAGGTGGTTATTACTGCCTACATTTTATGTACAAGGAAACAGGTTCAAGTGTCTAATGGCTTGCTCTAGGTCACATAGCCGAGAATGTCGCTGAACCAGGTCTCAGACTCAGTCCAGATGTAGACCCATCTTGAAGACTTTCCTTCCTAACCAGTGATCTTTGTATTCTCCTCTTTCTTCCTGTATGTTTCCATCTCTGGATCAAACCAGGCTTTTCTTTGCTTGCAGCTCTAGGTGGTTTTACAGCTCTCTCTTTTATGCCCTGTAATACTTCAATTATTTTAATTACTCCTCCACCCTCAAAACCTGAGCTGGAAGGTTGGAACAATGTATGCTGAGGCGTGGCTGCTGTCTGGGACAGCTGCTCCCTGCCAGGGAAACTGGGAGGGTTGAGGGAGGGGAGAGAGGAATCCCTCTCTGCCTCTTCTTCTGGCTGCCTCCCCAAGCACAGCTAGAAACTGGCCTGCCTATGCTGGTTGTTCCCAGGGAAGAGGCTGAGAGCCCAGTGGAAGACACAACCAGATATGATATAGGAAAGCAGAGACTCTATGGTTACCACCCACTGCACCCCTAATTTTGGATCCAGAGTCAATAAACAGAGATGGTGTGATTAGGTCTGGCTGTGGCTGAAACCTTGATTTACTTCACAAAGGACTAAAGACAAAAGCAGGACTGCACAGGGGGTTGGGGCAGGGCAGGGGACATTGAGAGATGCCAAGGACCAATCAGGTCAGCTTGGTTTGCTCAGGGAAGACAGGAGAGCACTAAGGGAGGAGTCATTGCTAGGACTGTCCCCAGGCTGGACGCCTAGCATTTGTCATGATGGGGCATTGTTTGGCCTGGGTGGATTTTGTTTGTATTATGGTATTAAGATTGGAACCTAGTCTCTGATGGGAGTTTTAAATGAAATTTATTTTAAAAGGTAAAATTTAGGTCCTAGAGCGATGGCCCAGCAGTTAAGAGCATTGGCTACTCTTCCAGAGGACCCGGGTTCATTTCCCAGCACAACACATGACAGCTTCAGTTCCAGGGGATCTGACACCCCCACACAGACATACATGGAAGCAAAACACCAACACACATGAAATAAAAATAAATAAATAATTTAAAAAGAGTTTTGCCAAGTATGGTAGTACACACCGTTAACCCTAGCATTCAGGGGACAGAGGCAGGTGGATTTCTGTGAGTTTAAGGCCAGCCTGGGGCTGGAGAGATGGCTCAGTGGTTAAGAGCACTGACTGCACTTCCAGAGGTCCTGAGTTCAAATCCCAGCAACCACATGGTGGCTCACAACCATCTGTAATGGAATCTGATGCCCTCTTCTGGTGTGTCTGAAGACAGCTACAGTGTACTCATATATAATAAATAAATCTTTAAAAAAAAAAAAAAAGGCCAGCCTGACCTACATAGTGAGTTCCAAGCTAGCCAAGGCTACATAAATCCTGCCTCAAAAAAACAAAACAAAACCCAAAACAAAAACAAACAAATGTAAATAAACAAAGTTTTAAAATGTTAGACATCCACCATTACCAATAACTTTGAAGCTATGCATGGCAGAGAACTACTGAACTATCAGCACTTAAGAGGCTGAACTGAGAGGCGCTTGAGTCTGCGGCCAGTCATAGAGGCTACATAGAGACTCTGAGACTAGCCTGGGCTAACTTGACTCTGTTTCAATAAAACAAAAACACTTTTAAAATAATAGAATTAGCCAGGCAGTAGTGGTGGTGCATGCCTTTAATCTCAGTACTTGGGAGGCAGAGGCAGGAGGATTTCTCTGAGTTTGGGGCAAGCCTGGTCTATAGAGTGAATTGGAGGACAGCCAGGGCTACACAGAGAAACCCTGTCTTGAATAAAAAACAAACAAAACAGAACAACAACAAAACCCTAAAATGACAAAAGTAATAATTTTTTTCCTGAGACAGTCTTAGTTAATAAACCTCAAACTTGAGATTTTCTTCTTAGTCTCCCAAGTGTTGAGATTACTAGCATGTATCACAATGCCTGCCAATACATACACACACATACATACATGTATGTGTATATATATAGATACACACACACACACGAAGGGCTTCATGTATCTCAAACTGGCTATAAGCTGGCTATGTAGCTGAGGCTGGGCCTGATCCTCCTGCCTCCACCTCCTGAGGCACTAGTATATGTAGAAAGTTTGAGCTACCACACCAACCTTTGTGATTTTTAATTTAAAGATCCCCTAAGCACCTTTAGGTTCATGGCTGACAGCTGCTATGGATAATTCTTGGTGACACATGGAGTGGTTAGTGTTTTGCTGGGCCCACTTAAGAAAGTTCTGCTGCTCTGGGCTGAGTGATGATGAGCAGCAAGGACCTCTAGAATGCTCTTTTACTCTTGCTGGACATCTAATATCACTTTCATTCCCCTATACCATTGCGAGCCCCAGTGTTCATATAATCTGTAACTCCCAACTAGGTGGAGAAATGGAACCGTCGTGATCAGAAGCTGCTGGAGGCGGTGCAGCGGGGGGACGTGGGACGCGTGGCTGCCTTGGCCTCTAGGAAGTCAGCCCGACCCACCAAACTAGACTCAAATGGCCAGTCCCCGTAAGTCTTCTTGACCCCATCCTGGTACACGGTTCTTTGTGAAAACTTCAAACTTCAGAATAATCAGGCAAGGCCTATAGCTTCAGAATTCTTTTATTGTTCGAATTGGCAAGCATATGCATTAAAGCTTTGCCATGTATCAAGCACAGAACAACTGAGGGAAGAGGATATTGTCCCATAGTTCCAGCCTCTGCACAAGCCACACTGACTTGAAAATGATGTAAAGCCCATTAAACCAACAGACAACTAATTGCTAAACAAAGTTTCCTCATCGCAAAAGTAGGAGGGTGTGTACGCTTGAGAAGTTGGGAATGAAGAAAGTCATGGGGGTCATGGGACTAGAGGGAGAATTCAGGAGGAAGACAATGCCTCCTGCTAGCTTCTGTTCTGCTCTGGCTGACTCTATGACATATCTCTAAAGGTTGTGTCCTGGGAGAGGCAGGCAATCATGTGTCCCCTGAACATTCCTGCAACATCTCTGCAATACCTTCAGCGTTGTAGCTCTTCTAGCTTTTCTGGTAGCTTTGTCCGCCTTTGTCTGACTTTGTGGCTGTAGGTCATGGAGACAGGCTTGATCCTCCTTTGAGCAAGACAGACTAGGAAGCCTCCCTCTCTGCTCTTGGCTTTGGGCTGGGGAGCAGAGGAAGCAGGGTTTATTAAAGCTCTTCCTTGTCAGCTGTGCTAGTACCTGCTTATAAGTCCAGAATTTGGGAGGTCACGTCAGAAGGATCAAGCATTGAAGGCCAGCCAGGTCTATATAGTGAGACTCTATCTCAAAGCAAACAAACAAACAAACAAACAAAGCCCAAATAAAACCATCAAGATTTAAACTGATCTGAATAACTTAGAATATTAAACATGATTTTTTTATTTTTACAATTATTTTATTTTATGTATATGAGTACACTGTAGCTGTCTTCAGACCCACCAGAAGAGGGCATCAGATCCCATTACAAATGGTTGTGAGCCACCATGTAGTTGCTGGGAATCGAACTCAGGACCTCTGGAAGAACAGTCAGTGCTTTTAACTGCCGAGCCATGTCTTCAACCCCTAAACATGATTTTCAAAAAGGAAAGAACCTCCTGTATTTTATCCCCTGGTCTTTCATCCTTCTGTCTCTTGCCTTTGACCCTGGCAGGTTCCATCTGGCAGCCTCCAAAGGCCTGACCGAGTGTCTGACAGTACTGCTTGCAAATGGGGCAGATATCAACAGCAAGAATGAGGACGGTGAGTCGGCCCAGTGTGCTGCAAGACTGTGTCTGGCTGCAGAGGGGCCAGGGCTGGGCTCTGAAGGAGGTTCCAGCTGTGGGCCTTTGCTTCTTTGCTCAGTAAGTCTTGGCTAGCATCTCTCCTGGGGTTCCCCTCCCTGTAAGCCAGGCACATTTCACCCCCACTCCCACCTCCGTAAGGGTACCAGCTGCTCAAGGAACTGGAATTTCTGGCCCGGTATGGCCCACGGCTTCTCTTCTCTAATCTCCCTCTGATTATCTGTGCGTCTCTTGCCCTCCCTACCGTGAGTCACCTGCATTCACGGGGCCACACCCCCTCTCTCCGTTTCTCTTTCCAGGAAGCACCGCCCTTCATTTGGCCACCATCTCCTGTCAGCCACAGTGTGTGAAGGTTTTGCTTCAGGTAAAGGCAGTCTGTTGATGCTCCTGTGCAGGAGAAGGAAACGCAGCGTGGCCCAGCATTGTTTTGTCGTAACCAACAGGACGACCTCACTCCAAATAGCACAGCTGATTGCCATTTATTAATAGGTTCACAAACACTTGTTTAACATCGTCTCTGTACTTGTGCCATGCTTGATACTGTCTCTGGGGGCAGGTCAGAAAGCAGGGCAGCCAAGGACAGTTGAATTCTGCCAGGAGCAGAGCCACTGCAGAGACTAACTGCTATGTAGAACAAAATCAGGAACGTTCAAATAAAAATGTCTTTGGTGGGAGGGGCTAGTAAGAGGGCTCAGCAGGTAAAAGAATTCTCTGCCAAGTCTAATGACCTGAGTTTGAGCCTCAGAACTCACGCGACTTGACGGAACGAGAGACCTGACTCCTGTAAGTTGTCCCCTGACCTCCACAAGCATATTCATACCCCCTCCCCAAGTAAAAAAAATAAATAAATAAAGCGGAGAGGGAGGTTATAGCCATGTAGCTTAAAGAAAAATATACATGTGTAATGACATGTGGACCATTTGCATCTCCCAATAGGCCACTGAGCACATACTGACTGCTCTACCTTTATTATTCCTGGTCTTTTCCAAATTTCACACAATGGTTCTGAAACTCCAGCCGATTCAGGTGTCATTTCCTTTAATCTGTTTACTTACTGATCATCTGTGGTTTTTTTTTCCCCCCTCTTTGGCCCTAGTTAAGAAGTAGAACTGAATTTCAAGGCTGCCCATCACCTGCAGGGAGTAACTGGGCTTGCCTAGTAGTAAGCTTCTCTCATAGCCATCATCCTCCTGTTCCTTTTCCTATTACCATGGAAACTGGTGGCTTGCTATGAGGTGTGGGATGAGGATGCTAGTGCAGAGCTCCACATCTGCTTCTCTTTGCGGCTATTTACAGCATGGTGCTAATGAAGATGCTGTGGATGCAGAAAATCGCAGTCCGTTACACTGGGCAGGTGCGTGCCTGGGGAACGGGATGGGAGGTTATCATTGGTGCAGGAACAACAGATGTTCTTCAAATCTCTTCTTAATCAAATGTCTTTCAATTCTTCCAGCCTCCTCAGGCTGCGCCTCAAGTGTCCTCCTGCTGTGTGACCATGAAGCCTTCCTGGATGTGTTGGATAATGTGAGTATCAGATGGACCAATGGGTAGTGTCTCACACCAGGAGGCTGCTGTTTTCTCTGAGTTTGATTGGCCAGATTCTATCACCCCCTCCTCCATCTCCTCTTTTCCTTATCATTTGGAGAGCTCCTAACTCTCCCAACAATAGTGTTTAACCCCAGGACCAGAGCTTGTCTCAACAGGGATGAGGATGGGGGAAAGGGAGTTGGTGGGGTTTGAGTCATCAAATGGTTCCCCCATATTTTCCCACATCCTCTGCAGGATGGACGCACACCCCTGATGATTGCATCGCTGGGTGGTCATGCAGCTATCTGCTCACAGCTGCTGCAGAGAGGTGCCCGAGTTAATGTTACCGACAAGGATGACAAGTGAGCCATCTTTATGTCCTATCTCAATTCCCAGTCCTTTAGCAATCTGGAAAGGATCCTGTGGGCCCAGTGCATGCACTGGAGAGAACAGGCTACTCTCTGTTCTTTGGGTGCTTCTTCCTCTCCAGGAATGGTTCAGAACATCTTTGCCTGGTGTTCTAAGGTAGCCATGCTAGCACAGATGATGCCAGAAGTAGAATGGCCATGCCCGGGATCACTGCTTTAATTTAAGCTATGTCCTAAACAATTGTCTCCCAAATGTATGCAGAGGATGAGTGTGGTGGTGGCATATACTTGTAGTCCAGTACTCAGAAGGTTGAGGCAGGAGGATCATGAGCATATATACTGCTGTGTGTGTGTGTGTGTGTGCTTGTGCATGTGTGTATGCCCATGTGCATGTGCAGAACTTTAGCATTCTATAAAGCATACAGAAATGGATCCTTCCCAGGGGTCCCACTGATGTTGCAGTTCCAAGGAACACCACTGAAAAGTCCTGCTCTGGTCTAAGGCTTTGTCCTTGGCTGGTGTTGGTATGTTGTTCTGACTCCACTGAGTGACAGCTTGTCCTGTGAGTGGAATTTTTGAAACCATGATGGGAAGCTGGATTGTCAGCTTTGTGTCCACCCACAGATCAGCTTTGATCCTGGCCTGTGAGAAAGGCAGCGCTGAAGTGGCTGAGCTGCTCCTGAGTCATGGAGCGGATGCTGGAGCTGTGGACAGCTTGGGACACAGTGCTCTTCATTACGCTCTGCATACACAAGACAAGGAGCTGTGCAGGCTGCTACAGCAGGCCCTGAACCGGCGGCGGAGAGGCGGTAAAAGTCTTTTTGTGCCTTCAAGAGTCTCTTCAATAGCCAAAGAATTAAGGATGTTTCTTAGCATCCCACTCTCATGGAAGCTGTCCATCTGAAAGAATGGACCGCCGCTTTAGCCAAGGCTGTACTAATCTAGTGCTGCTGCATCTGGGGAACCATAAACATGGTCACAAAATTCCCCAGTTGTAGCCTTTGCTCATTGCAACTTTGACTATTAATATTGTTCTATTGTGTGTTGTTTTTTTGTTTGTTTGTTTTGTTTTTTGAGACCTGGTTTCTCTATGTAGTTCTGGCTGTCCTGGAATTCACTCTGTAGACCAGGCTGGCCTCAAACTCAGAGACCCACCTGCCTCTGCCTCCCGAGTGCTGGGATTAAATAGCTATTGACATCCATGTGATTTCCATTTTGCCCACCACTGATGTTCCAGTGCCTTCACAGTACCAGTACAGTGATTAATAACAGGCGAGCGAACAGAACGAAGGAACACAGCATCTCCAGAGGAAGAAACCAAAGTTGCTGGGTCGTTAGGGCTCCATGGAATAAGATGATCACCTGACTGTCTCTGACAAACTCTGAAAACTAGAAGAGAGCTGAGTTCTCCTTTGTCCCATGTCTTTTCTTATAGGTCATGGACTGGTTCAACACCCAGATCACGCATCTCAGGTATGACCCCTAAGAGGCTCCCCTTCTTGTTTCTGACTTACCTCCAAGCAATTTCAGTAGTCCATGTGGGCACCAAGACATTCTCAGAGAAGCAGGACCCTTGAGAGGCTAGTTGAATAGCTCCGCACCATTGCTCTTTTCTGACATAGGCCTCTTCGTCTGAGCCTCGGGTGGGATCTCCTCCTAAGAGCTCATGGAGAGCAGAGCCCGAGGAAGAGCAGGAGGAAGAGGAGGGGGAGGAGCGGTGCTCAGAAGAGTGGAGGTGGAAGTATGAGGAGGAGCAGAGGAAAGTTCATCAGCTGGAGCAGGAGCTAGTGCGAAAGACAGATGAGTGTAAGGCTCGAGCTGCCGCCTTCTTAAGCCTAGAGAACCAGATTCGAGAGCAAGCGCAAGAACTAAGCCATCTCCTAGTGCAAGAACCCGGAGCTCCAGGAAATCAAGGCCCTGGTCTCCGGCCTGAAGGAGATGGTATGGAGCAGGGTTGTCCCCTGAACCTGCTGGCTGAGCGGATCCAAGAACTAAAGAAGCAGCAGAAGGCCACAGCCACAATAAACCCAACATTAGTTCCCAAGAGAGCTGAAGACTTAGCCCCAGCAGAGATCCACTGTGAAGTACATGCAAAGTCCCAACCAGAACAGGGGCTGCCCCAGAGCCCAAGGTCTGAGACCACCGGGAAAGCCACGGGACAGCAACCGAACACCAATGGGGGGCAGAACCTTGACTTCAAAAACGTTGAGCAGGTGTGTGCTGGCCGGAAGGAGACGGCCCTGGCTCCAGGGACTGAACCGGCAGGCACAGTGGGAGAACCAGTGGGTATAGCAGCCTTGAACCAGCTGCTCCTACAGCTACGGGAAGAGCTGGCTGCAGTGTGGCGAGAAAAGGACGTTGCCAGAGGGGCTTTGTCAAGACCAGTTCTGGAGGGAGCCCTGGGGACTCCCAGAGCTGAGGCTGCAGCAGCTGCCTGGGAAAAGATGGAAGCCAGGCTTGAGAGGGTGCTGGTAAGGTTGGATCGAGCAAAGATGGGACTGCATGTGAAACCTGAGGTCCCCGTCCAGGGCTCCAGAGACGGAGCCCCAAAGGCAGTCTCAGTCCCGGTATGCACTAAAGAGGAGGAACAAAAGAGGGCTTCTGGGGCCAGAGGAGAGCCCTTAGGGGCCCCTGGAGGAGAACAGGCCTCAGGAAGAGGCCTGGCAAAGGGACAGCTGGAGAAAGAGGTGTCAGCACTGAGACTGAGCAATAGCAATTTGCTGGAGGAATTGGGAGAGCTGGGGCGAGAGAGACAACGCTTGCAGGGAGAGCTGCAGTCCTTGACTCAGAAGCTACAACGGGAGTTTGTGCCCAAGCCTGAGGCACAGGTCCAGCTACAGCAGTTGCGGAGGAGCGTGGGGTTGTTGACAGAAGAACTGGCCATGGAGAAGGAGGCCACAGAGAAGCTGCGCAGGCGTCTGGCCTCCCAGAACAGCGGCCTGCAAGGACTGTGGAACTGCCTACCTCCAGACCTCGTGGGCAAGGGGAGTGCACAGAGTACAGCTGCAGAACCCCTGGAGGAGCTACAGGCCTGCATCAGCACCCTGGTGGATAGGCATCTCGAGACCCAACTGGTGGTGGCTCGGTTGGAGGAGGAAAACCAGCAGCTGAGGGGATCCTTGGCTCCCTGTGGAGAGCCAGAAGCCTCCCTGAAAGCTACAGCATCCCCGCAAGTGGCCGCCCTGGAGGAAGATCTGGGGAAGCTAGAGGAAGAGCTACGGGCTGTGCAGGCCACGATGAGCGGGAAGAGCCAGGAGATCTGCAAGCTGAAGCAGCTGCTCTACCAAGCCACGGAAGAAGTGGCTGAGCTGAGAGCTCGGGAAGCAGCCAGCCTGCGACAGCACGAGAAGACAAGAGGCTCGCTGGTGGCCCAGGCGCAGGCTTGGGGCCAGGAGCTCAAAGTTGTACTGGAGAAGTACAACACAGCCTGTCGGGAAATGACTCGATTGCGGGACACTGTGGCAGAGGAACGTCGCCGCAGCGAGGACCTGGTGGCTCGGGCGGCCGAGCAGGAACGCCAGGCTGGCGAGATGCGCGGGCGCTCGGAGCAGTTCGAGAAAACTGCTGAGCTGCTGAAAGAGAAGACAAACCACCTCATCGGGGCTTGCCGGGACAAGGAGGCCAAGGTGAGCATCGAGGTAGTCTTGAGAGCGAGCATAGCGCGAGCGGCGGTGCTTTTGCAGGGTTGCAGAGTCGAAGATCAGATTAATACAAAACAGAGTGCTTGCAAGGACCTCACTGTGCTCGCCTAAGGCAAGAGAGGTTTGAGGTTGAGACTGGAACTGAAGTGGAGTACAGATAGAAGAAAGAGATAAAAATAAGTAACATAGTACAAGAGAGGAGGGCGTAGGTACTAAATTTTAGCACTCAGGGTTCAGAAGTTATGTATGCCCCCAGGACGACCACTAAGGAACACCATGGCCAATTAGTATTTTATCTTAATCCTGCATTAGCCCAGCCTCGTGGTGTAATGAGTTCTGTGGTTTTGCCGAGGTTTTCGGCTGACTCAGAGTCTGATGGGTTAACTGTAGCTTCTCTTCCCTCCCGGTCCGTTCACAATGGATCCTGCAAACAATTCCCATTGGCCAAAAAATGACACCAAAGTAAATAAAAATAAAAATAAAATAAAATAAAATAAAATAAAATAGTTTGCAGAAATGCACAAGAGATAGATAGGCTCGGGGTCATCTTCGGCTACAGAGCTGGTTCCAAGGCACCCTGGGCTTATGAGACCCTGTTTGAAGACCAAGCCAAGCCAAGCCACAACAGAGTTTGAAAGCCACTATTTTCTCAGTGCTGTTGGCCAATGAGACATATTTTATGTATTCTAAACCACTCATTTATTTACAAGTGGATTTAGAGGTTGTAGAACTACCCACTAAATAAATGAATTCAGATTTCTTACTAACACTTGTACACATATCCAGATTTAGAACAGGAGAAGAATATAAACAGCATGTACCTCGTGTATAATGCATAGACAGAAGAACTGTTATCCAAAATAGGCATCATCATGGAAGGGAGTAAAAGGGGGCATTTTGTCAATAAATGGCAAGAAAGTCAATAACATTCGGCAAGGAAACTTTGGTGTAGTGGTTGAGAATGTGGCACAAACGTATACATGTATGTGTACAGACACCCAGGCACACAGGGTGGGAGTCAACAATTTAGGTTGGAAGATATAGTTTGGTGGCAGAATAATTGCCTAGCATGTATGTAAGCCTTTGGTTCTATCCCCACCATTGATAACAAAACAACAAATAAAATTTAATAGCTGGCTGAACTTAGACGACCTTTTGTTTTGTTTTGAGATAGGGTGTCACTATGAAGTCTTTACATCACAGAGATCAGCCTGTTTCTGTCAGAGTGCTGATATTAAAGGCTTGTGGCACTACACCAGACAACTTTCTTAACATCTCAAAGACCCAGGGATTTTTTGTTTGTTTGTTTATTTGTTTTTGTTTTATTGGTTTTTTTTTTTTTTTGAGACAGGGGGTTTCTCTGTGTGGCTCTGGCTATCCCAGAACTTGCTTTGTAGCCCAGGCTTGGCCTCAAACTCTGCCTCCTGGGTGCTGGGATTAAAGATGTGCACCACCACTGCCTGGTTGAAACCCAGCTTTCTCTTCCATAAGATTAAGTTCCTAGGCTGGAAAGATGGCTCAGTGGTTAAGAACAATGGCTCCCCTTCCAGACGACTTGAGTTCCTAGTACCCAAGTGGCTGTTCTTCCAGAGGCCCCAAGTTTAATTCCTCCAACCTACCCGGTGTCTCACAACCATCTGTAATGTCAGTTCCAGGGTTTCTGATGGCACCAGGCATGCACATGGCACGCAGATACACATGCAGACAAAGCACCCATACACATAAAATAAATAAATAAATAAATAAATAAATAAATAAATAAATAAAAGTTTAACAAGAAGTTGATCCAGGAGAATCGGGTATTCAAGGCTATCCTTGTGTTTGAGACCAGCTCAATTTCTAAGAGGCTCTGTTTAAATAAAGTATTATAAATACTCAGAAGTTTGATGATATGGAAGCCAGACATGGTGGCACACATCTTTCTTTAGTCTTAGCACTTAGGAGGCAGATACAGGTTGATGTCTGAGTTCAAAGCCAGTGTGGTTTACAGAGGACGTTCTAGGACAGACAGTGCTATACAGAGAAACCTTATCTCAAAAAACAAAAACAAACAAACAAACAAAAGTGGGAGGGGGAAGGGTTTGAGGTCATGGTTAATGATAAAGCATTTGCTAGAATGAAAAGAGTCTTGGTTCATCCCCAACCACCATCTCCCGGAAAAAGAGAGAAAGAAAGAAAGTAAATGCTTTATTGGGCCTGGAGAAATGGCTTGGCAATTAAGAATGCCTGCTGTTCTTCCGGAGGAATCCAGTTTAGGTCACTGCACCCACATAGTAACTATCTAGAGCTCTGACTGCAGAGGACCTGGAGTCCTCTTCTGGCCTCCATAGCCCCCAGCTACACAGGTGGAATGTAGACTTATATACATGCAGGTGCATACACACACACACACACACACACACACACACACACACACACAAATACACAGGATAATTTGGGGGCACATGCAAGTACTCAGTAAAAAGTACTTGCTATAGCCTGTGGTGGCATATCCTTTTAATCTCAGTGCTCTGGAGGCAGAGACAGGAGGATTTTTGTGAGTTTGAGGCCAGCTTAGTCTATGTAGTGAGCCCAGGCCACCTAGGGCTATCCAGTGAGACTGTCTAAGACAGAACACCAAAACAAACAAACAAACAAACAAACAAACAAAAAACAAAAAACCCCACCAAAACCAAAAGTTCATAAACTATAGTAGAGCCAAAGAGAAATTGGTTTAAACCATGATTTATTAGCTATGTGGTTTTGGTTTTGTTTTGATTTTAGACAGGGTCTCACTACACAGCTCTGGCTGTCATCCTGGAACTCACTATATAGACAAAGTGGCCTTAAACTCTCAGAGCTCAGTCTGCTTCTGTCTCCTAATTGCTGGGATCAAAGGTGTGTACCACCACCATGAGATAGCTGCATGGTTTTGAAAATTTATTAAACTTAGGCTTCTACCCATAAAATGGGGACAATGGTCCTTTTCTTGGAGAAGCATTGTTCTTAGAAGAAGGGCTGGATTGGATATTATGTAAGACAATGCATATAGAAATATCTGGGGGGCTGGAGAGATGGCTCAGCGGTTAAGAGCACTGACTGCTCTTCCAGAGGTCCTGAGTTCAAATCCCAGCAACCACATGGTGGCTCACAACCATCCGTAATGAGATTGGATGCCCTCTTCTGGTGTGTCCGAAGGCAGCGACAGTGTACTAATAAAATAAATAAATAAATAAAGAAAGAAAGAAAAAAAAAAGAACAAGAAAGTTTAAAAAAAAAAAAAAGAAATATCTGGTGCCAGGCAGTGGTGGTGCATGCCTTTAATCCTAGCACTTGGGAGGCAGAGGCAGGAAGATTTCTGAGTTCGAGGCCAGCCTTGTCTGCAGAGTGAGTTCCAGGACAGCCAGGGCTACACAGAGAAACCCTGTCTCAAAAAAAAAAAAAATATCTGGCACATATTAAATTCTCAATAAGGAGACCTGACTTTGACCCTGGGACAACTTGGGTCCCTGTTAACCTCATGGGGTGAGAATAAGACCATTACCACCTTATTAAGGCAAATTTGAATCAAGCTTTATTAAATACTGGTCAGGATGAGGGACACTGGCTAGGACCATACCCAGGGTTCCCAGAAAATGGCTGCGATTATGTTAGTCACTCACAGAGGCAAACCCCACAAGGTTATGTACTTCTGTCTTCATCCAACTGGGGGCAAGCATATATCCTGACATATATTCTCCCTTCACACCTCCCACCTATGTGTGATCAATCCCATCCTGTGTAGTCAGGGCAGCCAACCTTGTTTACAGAAGTGAAAACCTGTGCCTGTTTTCTTATGTGAACAACAGCCCCCAGCATTCCAGGAAGCTATCTCTCTTTAGGCAAGTGGGATTCACAGGTTAGGGGCATTTTTGTTTTATAGATCTTAAGCACAGTAATGTAAACTTAAAATATAACTTTAGCCCTCACATCCCTTTCTTTTCTTTTGGCCTTAGATCAAGGAGTTGTTGAAGAAGCTGGAGAAGCTTTCGGAGGAAGTTCTAGAAGTCCGGGGGGAGAATACCCACCTTGCCCTACAGTTGCAGGTATAGTTTGGCCTGCAGGGAACTAGATGGTGGTAGAGAAGATGGGGGTGGGAGTGGAGGTGGGGAGTGTCAGGAGACTAGCCAGGGGTGGACCAGTGATGGGGCCACAGAACCAGCCTCAAGATCCACGAGTGTGGGAAGGGTAGGCATGTGACCTTCCTGTGGGCGCTCCCTTCCAGGATTCCCAGAAGAACCATGAAGAGATCATCTCCACCTACAGGAATCATCTACTGAATGCGGCTCAGGTGAGCTTGCTGGAGTCTGAGGGCAGCAGAGATACAGAGCAAGGAAGGAATGTCACGTCTGTCCCTTCTCTTCCCTATACATACTTGCCATTTTGTCAGGCCCAGTGGACTGTGTGGCAGGTCTTGGGATCTCATTACCCACATCAAAAGAGACTGTGTGTGAACGGGAGGAGGAGAAGCTTCTGCTTCCCTTTCCGGTTCCCTAATCCTTTGTGAGGGTTTTTCCTGTCCCTATTACCACACCCCTCAGTCTCCTCTGAGGTGACTTTGCCTTAATCAAGGAAAACTGGGTGTTCCTGCTCCTTTCTTAGGGAAGATAAGGGAGTAGAGCTACTTTTAACATTCATGGTGTGGCCTTTACAGCAATCCTGTGGGGTAGATAGCATTCCCTTCCTTGTGAAGACGGGGAAAGCAGCCATGGAAAAGTTATTTAATACTGCAAGTGAGTCTGGGGGTGTATAGCTCATTGACAAGCACTTGCCCTGTTCAGTCACAAGTACCGCAGACCAAAAACATGACAGCAGAATTACTTAAGGATTATGTAATTGCAAGAGGTAATGACTGGCATTCTGCTATCCTACAAAATTACTCCCTCATCTGATCTGCCTCTCCCCACGTTCTGTGCTTCATCATCTTCTAAGTCCTTCCTGCCACGCCCCAGGGCTACATGGAACAAGACGTCTACAACATCCTACTTCGAATCCTCAGCTTGCAGGAGTGAGGCAGGCTCACTGTGTACCCTCAGGGATAAAGGCATTTCCCTTTTGTGAGTCGTGGTACGGAAGGGATGGGGTGGGGTTTATTTTTTGCCTCTCTGGTGGCTGACACTGGGGAGTCCTGTAGGACATAGAGCATTGAAGTAAAGTCAACTGAGAAGACAAAGTGTGGGTCACTAGGGGGAGTCGGGGCCTTGTGAGCAGGTGGCATGAGATTAATGACCAATGGGATGACTATGGATAGGACAGACAGAAAAGATGATTGGAATATTTTCCTAAAGTCTGTACCAGAGATGCTGGTGAAGGATGAAGGGTGCTGGGACAGTGGGACAGTTGTTCCCTAGGGCAGGACTTTATAGACTCCAGGCTTCCTCACCCTTCACTCAAAAACCAACCATCTCCCAGCCTCCCTCCTACCCCATTGTGGGCAGCCCTCTTTCCAGTTTGGAAAGACAAGCAGACCCTCTAGCATGTCGATGTGGGTAGGAGCAGAGCGAGGATACTATAGAATTCACCTTTGAATTTCTTCTTACAGGGAATAACGAGGCTCCATCAAGCTGTGGTGGGCATGTGGGCAGCTGGTGATTACCCACTAGTGGTGCTGTGGGTGGGGCTTCAAGGGACACATGGACTCCAGACCTGAAAACCTGGGCCCTGGAATCAGCATAGATTAGATCAGAATTGTGGATGTAAACTAGCTCCATGGAAAATAAAGCAGAAAACAGATGGTCCTGGGTATCGTTGTGGTTTTTGTCGAAAAGGGTGGAATGGGGAAAAAAAAAAGAATCTTGATCAAACAACTTAAAAAATAAGCTGGGTGTGGTGGTATACACCTTAATCTCAGTACTTGGGAGGTGGGGGCAGGGAGAGCAAAAGTTCAGGGCCAGCCTTTGCTACATAGTGAGTCCAATCAGCCTGGGCTACAATCACCACCCTGTTTAAAAACAAACAAACAAACAAACAAACAACATCCTTTCTCTTCCTGTTAGCAAAGTCCCTCACTAGAGTGATACATTTGTAACTGTCTAACCTCCGTCAGTACACACTGTCACAGGCACCCATAGAGTACATTAGGGCCTACTCCTGACAATGCTTAGACAGGTTTGCAATGGTACCTCCCCTGCCCTGTAGTCTTAGTAGTGTTACAGTGATAAGGATTCTATATGCTCTGCTCTGCCTGTTGGTTCCTTCCTTTCCTAGCTCCTGACTCTTTTTTTTTTTTTTTTTTTAAAGGCAGGGTCTCTCTCTATGTAGTCCTGGCTGTCCTGAAGTTCACTATGTAGACCTGGCTGGCCTCGAACTCACAGATTCCAACTCTGATTCCAACTCCAAGGGGATTGGACTCCTCTGACCTATGAGGGTACTCATACTCTATCATACAATTAAAAAAATCCAATCTGAGCCTGTAAATAGCTCTGGTAGTATGCATGCTTGTTGCCGGGTTTAATGACCTGTGCTCAATCTGCTGATGCCACATAGGGGACGAAGAGAACCATTAAGTTTTCCTGTCACCTGCACATCTGTGTTGCATGTACACTGAGTGCACACACACACACACACACACACACACACACACACTAAATGTAAAAAGCAAAAATTCTATCTGTTAAAACCTTGCCTAAAATAGAATAGGATCGCAGTAAAACTACTGGGCACATACATTGCAAACTTATCTAGGCTCTAGTGGACTCTCTGGATGCCTGTGACAGTGTGTGCTGATTTGACACATATGTTCTCATGTCATCACCATTCTTTCTTTTGAGTGCATATAGGGATTTTTTAAAAATCTGAATTTAAAAAAAAAAGACACACATATATCCTAGAACAGCTTTTAATATACAAGTGACTTTTAGGTCCACAGTGAGAAAAGTCTGATTCTTGAAAGAAGGAAGGGACATCTAGGTTTGGTTCTAGGTCAGAAAGATTTGATTTCTCAGCCACCTGACCCTCCTCTAGCCTGGCTACTCCACGAGAAACAGTTCCTCCAAAATCTGGACAGCAGGCCAGACCTGCAAGCAGATCCCTCCCCATCCCTTCCCCCAGCCCGCCCTCTGCTGGGTTAAGCTGGGTCAGACAGCAGGGGTTTGCCAGTAAAATCTGGCTCCAGGGAAAGAGTAAAGAGAGACTGCTGTGGGCTACACACGAGGCTGCAGGAACTGGCCCAGAGTCCGGCTGAGGGGAAATGCAGCTGCAACACACAGATCAGATCGTAGGGAAGGATCAGAAAGACTTTGAGGTTCATGGTGAGAAGACTGATGGAGAAAGGGAAACTGCTGAGGTGGGGCACTGAAGGGGTTCAGGAACTTCTCTTAAGAGGAGTAGAATATTTTCCCCCTTCCTCTCGGTCACTAGAGATTATCAAGGATCAGTACACTCGTTATATTTGGAAATATGGGTGGGAAAACCAAGAAAATGCAGAGAGGAAGGTCCAGAGAGGGAGAGTCCCACTTGTCTAAGTTCAAGTGTGTCAGGAAGTAGTTTTGGTTATGAAAAGCAGGCCACTGGCTCCTGGGAGCTGATCCCAAGAGAGCAGCTGAAAGAGTGGTCAGTGATTCTCACAATGGAGTGGATCGCTCCTGACGTAGTCTATACCTGTACAGTCCCTTAAACTGTCAACTTCAAACCCAAAGAGTGAATGCTCCTGGGTTTCACAGTTGCCATGTCCCCTCACTACTGTAATTCTGATGCTCCCTCTGCTCCCTCACATGTGTACAGGTGCCGGTGGAGGTTAGAAGGTGTTGGGTCTCCTGGAGGTGGAATTTCAGGCGGTTGTGAGTGCTGGAACTGAGCTCCGGCCCTCTGCAAGGGCAGTAAGTGCTATTATCTCCTGGGCAGGTGTGGAGGTCAGAGGACAGCTCTTGGAAGTTAGTTCTCTCCTTTTGCCATCTGGAGAATGGATTTGGGCCATCAGGCATCCCTATCGAGGGAGCCATCTTACTGCCCACCCCCCTTCAGGGTTTCTTGTACTTCAGACTGGCCTTTAACTTGTTTTTGTTTGTTTGATTTTTGTTTTTCTTTTTAGAGACTGGGTCTCAAAAAAATACATAGTCCTGGCTGTCCTGGAACACGCTACATAGACCAGGCTAACCGTGGACTCAGAGAGATCTGCCTGCCTCTGCCTGTGGGGTACTAGGATAGCAGGTCCTCTACCACATCTGGCTTGGCCTTGAACTCTTGATCTTCATGCCTTCATCTCCCAGTGCTCAAATAATTTATTCTTTTGAGACACGGTTTCACTATGTAGTACTGTGTAGAGCAGGCTGGCTGTAAACTCACAGAGCTCCGCCTGCCTCTGACTCCCAAGTGCTGGGATTAAAGGGCGTGGGTCACCACACCTGGCTGATTTTTATTTTTGTTTTAAGACTGGGTCTTACCATATTGTCTTGGCTGGAGTGGAACTCAGCAAGCAGACCAGGCTGTACTCAAACTTGAGTTGATTTGCCTGCCTTTGGCATGCGGGGATTTCAGATGTGAGCCATCTCCAACTTTCTTTCTTTTAAACATTTTATTATTTGTTTATTTTACAGTCTGATCACAGTTTCCCCTCCCTCCATGTCCAACTTTCAGATTAATATTTTAAGGAGATCCTCTTTCATTAAATCACTAAGAATTAAGAAGAGGCTAGTTTTCAGTAGTACATTTTTATAGCTCTGTTGAGGTTTAATTGATATACTCAGATTTCCAGTATTGGAAGCTCTTTGTACTGTATATGCCATTATGACATGTAATGCCAGTGAACACTGTCTGAAACATCTTAGCTCAGATTAAAGACTAATGTTTATGAATGACAATTTTTTTTACTGTCCATACAAAAGTTTCTGTTCTTATGAAAATATAGTGGCTTACTTATGAAGAATATTTAAATATTTTTCTATCATCACTCCCTAGAATGTGTCAAATTAATATACCTTTAGATTATATTGTTAGAAAGTTTTTTGTTTTTGGATTTTTTTCGAGACAGGGTTTCTCTGTGTAGCCCTGGCTGTCCTGGAACTCACTCTGTAGACCAGGCTAGCCTCGAACTCTCGAACTCAGAAATCCACCTGCCTCTGCCTCCCAAGTGCTGGGATTAAAGGCATGCGCCACCACTGCCCAGCTTAGAAAGTTTTTTTTTTTTAAATTGCTCTTTTGAATTTTTGAGTTTCATAAAAAAAAATCAGCACTTTATTAAAGGTGTGTGCCACCACACAAGGCTACTTTCATTTTTAATGAATGATAAAGTTATATGTATACCAAAGAATTAGAAAAATCTTTATGGTTTACTGTCAGTAAATGTCTGATTTATATGTTTATTTTTAAAAATATTTATTTATTTTATGTATATGAATGCTCTATCTGCATGTACACCTGCAAGCCAGAAAAGGGAATCAGATCCCAGTACAGATGGTTATGAGTCACCAATCACACAATGTGGTTGCTGGAACTCAGGACCTCTGAAAGAACACAGTGAAAGAGCACAGTGCTCTTAACCACCACGCCATCTCTCCAGGCCCCATACATTTATCTTGATATGTCTATTTACCTGGGATCTGGAGTCACAAAAATGTCTGGGGCAAAAAGGGATATCAAGCTTAAGAAGAAACAAAAGAATATGACTGGCAATTAGCTTAGATGGCTGTGCCAGTATCCCAGCACACACAGTCTGAGGTTCTATCCCCAGAACAGACAAGCACCAGGGCCTGATTAGGATGCAGGAAGCACCAGATGAGATTTAGGGCCAAGTACTTAGCCTATATTTAGCTTGAGGGACCCATCATTTCTTGCAGCAAGGAACAACCCTATCCCCCAATCCCCAGTGTTAGGAGAGGGTGGTCATTTCCCTAGGAACAAAACCAGGAAGTAGTTAAGTATAATTAACAGGCACTAGGAATATTGTTAGCACTTTATGGCTTGCAGCTTGGGTTGGGGCTCATGGAAAGGATTACACTGAAGACTTAAACTAAATGAGATTATTCCTAGTATTTACTAGAGCTTTTTATTATTTTGCATGTTTGTTGTACAACTTGCCTCTGATGCCAGACTGAGCTTTCGAAGGGTTTTAAGTCCTCAGCACCTAGCAATCCCTGATTAGCACTTTAATATTTACCTTCCCTGTTTTCAAGTATTTACTGGACAAACGACATTATCCCTGAGGCCCCAAACAACTATAAAATGTGGAGTTTTTACGACAACTAGTATAAGGTATTGTGCCCTAAAGTAGCTATCTTCATGGATATAGAAATGAATTACTCAAATCAGCAGGTTAAATGGCCAACTTGGTTGAGACTGGCCGTCTGGAGTAGCCAGAGGTACTCTGTCTCAAGGGGGGAGGTAAATATTAAAGTGCTAATTAGGGATTACTAGGTTTTGAGGGCTTAAAACCGTTTGAAAGCTCAGTCTGGCATCAGAGGCAAGTTGTACAACAAACATGCAAAATCATGCTTTGGAGGAGGGAGTAGGCATTTCAAAGAGGGGCAGAAGTCTTTCTTCTGTACGTGTACCTCCTTGTGTTCACCAACTGTGCGATCCCTACTTACTGTAAGCATATTTGGAGGTTGGAGTGCTATCTGCAGGGATTGTGTTGCTTATTTTCCACTAGTAGCCCAGGTTTTCCCCCCAGACAGATGGAGATCTCATCCTAGAACCTCTCTTGTTTGTCTTGTTTTGTTTTTTTAAAGATAGGGTCTCACTATGTAACTCTGGCTGGTCTAGAACTCCATAGAACCTCTCTAAACAACCAGATTCCCAAAGC